GTGAACAGACTCCCAATATTTTTTACCTAGTGTGCACTAGTGATGTATCAAAGTTAGATGAGCTTCATCACGAGGCTCCGTTGGGCAAAAGCCACCACCAATCATTGTTTTTCACTATCAAGTGCTGTACAGAAAAGATGCCTCAGAAGCGTGAACGTTTGAACTCTGCGAAAGGCGACCATGTAAAACTCCGTGAAGCAGTGAATGCGAATATTTCTAACTGTATTAAGAAAATTAATGTGGCCGAGTCATGGTCATTTCTGAGCACCGCAGTGAAAAAACATTGAAAAAATATTACCAAAAATGCAAAAGGGGACCCGAAAGCCTTCTTCTTGTACGCTAGTTCGAAGTGCTAGACTTTTAATCAGTTTTTTAGCAACGTCTTCACAGACGAGGACTTGAACAGCATTTCAGCTATTGAGGAACGCTCATTGGGCTTGAATTTAACAAGTTTTGAAACACGAAGAAGAGGTTCTCAAGCGCCTGGTCACTCTGAATCCAAACAAGTCATGTGGACCTAAGGGTCTTCCACCCTTAATTATTCTAAGAATTAGCAGCCGTCCTGGCCGACCCTTTGACTGTATTTTCTCAAAAGTCCTTGAATTAAGGAGCTTATAGCCGGCCAATTAGAAAGAAGCTCAAGTGACACCTCTGTTAAAAAAGTTGATCCCAGTAATTATCGCCCTGTCAGTCCCACAAGTGTTGTTTGTAAAGTAGTGGAATCTGTTGAGGGATAGGATTACCGATGACTTGACTGTTCACCGTCTCCTATCACACTGTTAGAAAAGTTACCGTTTACGGTATTTCCGGCGTTTCAGTGGCCGGTCGGCACGTGAAAAGAAACACCGTGTCGCCGTTTTTGTTCTAATTTAACAATAGAAAGCCGTAAAACATCTGATAAAAACTGTGAAACAGTTTATTTTCACGGGGCGACCGGCCACTAGAATGCCAGTGGGACCGTTTTTTCACCGTTTTTCCTAACAGTGTCCCTAAGCGAAGTACTTTACACTTGTCAGCAATAAAACGCAGCTGCCACGTATAAGCCCAGTCAATTACGCTTGGAGTAATGAATATGTCCAAATAATGATACACTCTCTGCATGCAGCACTGATAGGTTCTTTTGCCGCACAAACTGGGCGGAATGAGCTGCACACACGCAACAAGTACATCAACTTTTAAACAAAGTCTCACATATTTCTCTGAGTGTAGTCTATCAAGATCATCTTGCAACTAGACTTTTTTAACCATAGCTTTATTACAAACTTTTATGTTGTCAGTATACATCAAGGGATCCGGCCTTTGGAACCCGATCTTTCCATAACTGACGATTGATTGAGATAGCTGCTGGACTTATTGCCTGGTCCGTAATTTGCTAGGCATTTTAATACTGAACATATGCTCCTGCATAGCTTCGTCTGGACTTATTGCCTGGTCCGTAATTTGCTAGGCATTTTAAGACAACACTTACGTTCACTTAGCGAGTTTTGATAGTATGACCCCTAGTCTTACGGTCCGAGCTTCACCTCAATAATTTGACGAGTTTCTGCCGCAACACGTATAGCAGCTATACTCCGCTTGTGTTTTGTATAATTATTGTTTATATCCTGTGTATTATTGTATTGTTCTTTATTAATTGCCCTAATACATTTTTTTGCACTCGCCTGAAACCGTTCTACCTTGAAAAACCAGTCGATCTATGCAAGATTAAAAAAGGCAAAGAATAGTCCACAAAAATTCTTATCTTTATAGAAAACGTTTCGTAGTCCAGCTCCATCGTCAGTTCGTAGAATCTAGAATTTACATAGAAAGTCACAAATTAGTACAATTGAAAGCACAGAACACAATTAAACATGGTTGAACTATATAAGGTTGACCCACGAGAAGTTCCGCCTTTCAGTTTAGTTTTTTGTTGCGTCACTGAGATCGAGAAACGTAAACAAACTCGTCATTCCCATGACGGATTGGTTGACGGGTTTGATCGCATTTCGGTGATTGGTTAATGCCAGTGACGTCATTGAGATCAGTGACGTCACAGGCGAACAACACACTACCTCAGCAAAAATGAGCTTCTGATGGGTCAACCTTGTACCAGTTCAACCATGACAATTAAAAACCTAAATTTACAAGTGTCAGGTACTTCCTATTCATGCCCTAGCTCTACTTTATTTTACGTATTTCTACTACTTATTTTACGTATTTCTATTTTATACGTATTTATCTTATATATATAGCTATAGCTATAGCTATATATATAGCTATGGCTATATATATATATAGCTATAGCTATATATATAAGCCGACTACGTCAAGCCGTCTCCGGCAACTGTGTTCCACACAGTGCCGTTATCAATCATTGTACTAAACTCATTTATCTGTATTAGGCTCCCCGTGTCTTACCTTAAATAAGTATTAAGGAAAACTAAAGGAATTCTATTATTATCCTCCTTGTATTTATTGTACATTTTAGAACTCATTTTAGACCCTCCGAATTATAACTAATTCGTATATGCTCTACCGAAAAGCACCGGACACAAGTAATAGGGCACAAAAAACGATCTATTCACAATTTCAAGGGGATAGGAGCTAACCGCTGAATTTAAACTGGGCCTAAGTTTGAAAATGTAGAATGATTTTAAAATACGCGAATCTGAAGTACCGGTAGCCCTTGGGCGCCCAGTTGAACTTATACGTCGCCTTTCTAAACTGCGTGTTTTTTTGTTTATATTTGTTGTTTGTTTTTGAAAGTATGGCCCCAGGCCTGTCGAGTCTCGAATATGTGAACTGTGAGTTGAGTCTGATAGTAAGGCTGGCGATTATACTGTAAATTGACGTCTTCAGAGTTGAGTGCGTTTACTGTAGTTTACCATCAAAGGTTTTCTTCGGATATTGGAATAGAAAACAAATAAGAGGAAACAAATGAGAAAACATTTTCTTTTTGACAGCTTACGCGAATTTGTGCCTGCGGCTACTATGAATGAAAATGAAGTTAAATTGACCTAAATCAAAATAATTATGAATTAAATAATACCGAAGTATCATTTATGGTTTAGCATCTTTTTTTAGGCTCGTTTTCTGATACTTTTTCATATTTTTTTTTACAATTCTCACTTACCTTGCTATGGACATTGTCAATTCATATTACATCCTAAAGATAAAAAAAAAAACACTGTGAAAAATCATGCATCTAAAATATAGGAAACTATTGCAATTTACTTCAAAGAACAAGATTCGTACTACGTTCGAGCCAGGGTTGCCAGATGGCCTTTTGTACGCGGGCAAAGAAATGCCTTTAACTCAATATATACCAGTATATTTGCAGGTTCCAGTATAAAAATTCCATTTTCCTTTTTTTCGCACTTTTAAAATTTATTGAGCAAGTACCGCTATCATAAATTTTAACCGGGCAACGCAATTAAAAAAAATCTAAATCGTGGAATTTGTCCGGAAAAAAGACCATCTGGCAACCCTGGTTCAAGCTCGGCTTTCTAATTTCGCTCCGTGAACGCGGACTGCGATCAAGTCACCATCGTTTATGTAGCGCTGTTGCGGGACGCTCCGAAACTGGCCTTTGCGGTACACATCTTGTGCGTAAGAAAATTTTTCAGAGAGACAAAAGATATATATATACCAATAGAATCGCAATTTATCGTTGCACAAAATGGTGTAGTTTGAAAAAAATCGATCGAGATTTACCGGAGTTATTAACAAAAATATAAAACTTCGTGCAAAGTAGGTTCCCCTAGGTTGCCCTGGATATAACTGTTATAAAACTATTGCATAATCAATGGGAAACTTATTTATAACAGTTATATCCAGGGCAACCTAGGTGAACATGCTTTATTGCACGTATTTCTACTGTGAGCCTTTTTTCTAGCAACCAATGCAACCAACTCTGCAATAAANAAGAATGCCTCTTTAAAGTAACCGATCGTTCTATATCCTTCATTTTTACACCCATTATAACAAAAAAGTTTTATTATACAATGCGAAGCATTTGTATTATAAGGTTTGGCACATATAAAATTCGTATTTCTTTTTGCTGATTTGTTTACTCTGAATATAGGAAACATTTATCTGCTATGCTATCTACATTTATCTCATTGTAGGTGTAAAATTAAATCATTTGTCGATGCCATATTTGTCATGATTTGTTGATGCCAAATTAAATCATTTTTATTATCATAGATGTCAATAATCAACGGCAATTAACAGTTATATCCAGGGCAACCTATAGGTGAACATGCTTTATTGCACGTATTTCTACTGTGAGCCTTTTTTTCTAGCAACCAATGCAACCAACTCTCAATAAAGCATGTTCACCTTGGTTGCCCTGGATATACTGTCTTCTAAACCGCATACTGTCTTCGACTGTATCTCGAAGACTGTCTGTCTCTCGAGACAGTCTTCGACTGTATCTCGAAGACTGTCTCGACTCGAGACAGTCCCAAATCGACTGTTTTCCCGCATACTGTCTTCTAAATTAGAAGGCAAGTGCAAATAATATAATATTAGGCATGCTAATATTAACAATAATTGAGTCTAAATGAGTTTTAATCGAATTCAACAGCAGAGACTCATTAATGAAATGAACTGAGCATGAACGGTTGACATTCCAACAAACACGAGCAAGAATATAAAGGGATATGTAACGTCAGCCAACAGATTAAGTTTGATTTTTGTTTCAAAAACCTTTAATGCGCACTACTCTTTATAATTAGTCGAGATGATGATTTAATTGTACTTGATTCTTCATGCCTAGAAATGATAATTCCTTTAAATAATTTGTTTTATCCCTCTGGCATTTCCATACTTTTAAATGAAAGTTTAAAACACTTTTAGAGTAAAAAATACTTTTGTCTTAATTAAATGAGGCAAATGAAAAATGAACTTATGTGCTACTAAACTAACTAACTGACTAAACTAACTCTGTGGCATTTCTATACTTTTAAATGAAAGTTTAAAACACTTTTTAGAGTATAATATACTTTTGTCTTGATTAAATGAGGTAAACGAAAAATGAACTTATTAAAACACTTTTCAGAGTAAAATATACTTTTGTCTTAAATGAGGCAAATGAAAAGTGAACTTATTAAAACACTTTTAGAGTAAAATATACTTTTATCTTAAATGAGGTAAACGAAAAATGAACTTATTAAAACACTTTTTAGAGTAAAAAATTTTTTTGTCTTAAATGAGGCAAATGAAAAATGAACTTATTTGTTCCCAGCCTCGGCGGGTCGGCGAGTTCTCTGGACCTGTCGCAGACGATGACCCGGTCCCGGGACCTGGGCTCCCGAGGCTCTCTGTGTGACGAAGAGGCCGATGACTGCGACAGCATCAACGTCGTCGTCAGGTGGGTCACGTCGTCGTCAGGTGGGTCACGTCGTAGTCAGGTGGGTCACGTCGTAGTCAGGTGGGTCACGTCGTAGTCANATACTTTCAAAACTCGCTAAGTGAACGTAAGTACTTACGCTCTATTTTCTTGTCTATGATTGGTGGATTTTGCTTGAAATGCCGTCAATGATTGGCTGATGAACTTACGATCTCTTAACTTTTTTTTAAAGTATAGGCCCTAATGTGTACGCATTTAGAGGAGCAGTAAGGTTCTCTTGTAATCTCTCTTTTCACAAGGAATTAGAAAGTTCATTTGATACTTTAAACAAATTTTACTGAAGCATATTCTTTATTTAATGTCTCGCTAATGGATTAATGAATGTTTCATGTTATATGTTTTCACATGTGTGGACCATAGCAACCTTCTTTCTGCGCATTATAACTTATCTCGTGTCATATTCTCAAGCTGATCTTTTATTTTTTTATTAACTATATTCTCAAGCTGATTTTTTTTTGAGATTTTTGAGAATTTGAGATTTTTTAGCTATATTCTCAAGCTGATCTTTTAAATAGTGTTCAATGTTTTTTGTGTGTGTATTGGGAGCTTGACGCCATAAAAATGTTTGAAATGTTCGGACGCGTATTCACAATACTCGTGAATTATGGATGTTACCTGGACTTGAAAATTTATAAGTGAGAAAATAGTAAGGCATTGCCGAACTGAAGGGGACGGACTGAACTGAAAATGTCAATTAGAATTTTAAATTAATATACATAAGTTGAATTTGAAACTCGCAAAATATTTTTTTAATGCGTTGAAACTAGAGTAAAATTGATATTCTTTGTACCATGGAAAATGCGGGTATGAGAATATTCTTTTTTTAATTTACATGCATTAGCATAATTTTGTTTTATGGAAGTTATTTTACAGGGAATCATCAGCTCAAAATCGTTATTTCTCATTAGAATTTGAAAATTTTGACTTATCCAATACCTCAGAATGACCCCTAAATTTAAGACCGCAAAAATCATAGCGGTTATTGACCCTTACATGAACTTTTTTGATTCTGATGACATGTATATTAAATTCTAAGTCTAAAAATCTTAGGAAGCAATCTTTTAATGAAAGAATTTTTAGCATAAACGTCAGGCATTGTGTCTCAAACTAGCAGTCGTGTCTACAATCAGAAGAACGATGCTGCTTTATTGATTGCAAATAATCTGGGCCGCCTGGAGTTATCGGTGTCACGTTCTGAGCGTCCGTTTACATGCACTTTATGGGTAGTCTTCGGGCTTCTATACGCATAAAAAATAAATCGTTGTGATACGTTAACATTTTTCTTCTATTTCTGTTACTTTTTGCTGTGGGAAGTAAAATCATTCTCATTTAGACTACTAAATAAGCTGGTTTGTATAGCTTAAGGTTGTGGTTTCATGACTTCCATAAAACCAGTACCTAAAAATTATTTCTAAGGTGCAAATTTAAATATTCTTGTTTGATTCACATCGTGTCTCTCTCCAGCTAAATAAAGATTCGATACTAATTCATATTAATAAAGAACTGAAAGTTAAATAAATGAATCATCCACGACGCTAAATTAAATATACATGCGCGTTCACTCTAAGCACATGAATGGAAGAGGCGCGCTGGCTGCAAGCCGTGCTGCGGTTCCCAAGGCAGCGTTGCTCAAACACCGCGCGATCGAGTCACTAGCAATCGATGCTGTTGCTCTTGACGTCACACGCTGCTGTTGTTCAGTGTGTGCTGCTTCTATCGCTGCTTGCTTACTTCATATATTACTTACTTCATGCTCGGCGAGCTGTTGCTCTTGACGTCACACGCTGCTGTTGTTCAGTGTGTGCTGCTTCTATCGCTGCTTGCTTATTTCATATATTCGTATGCTCACTCTACACACGCGATCGATGATGGTGCTACGGTAGGTTGTCTCTTGCATACGCATACAACTCGACCACTCACTATTGCGTACCCTGTGAACTTTTGGAGGTTACATTGTTACTTCTGTAGTAACGAGCTAATGAGTGTCAAAGAATAGCTATTGACAACTGCCGAGCTCACAGGCGGTAGGAACTTTTAGAAGCTAATGCTCCTATTGCAAGGCTACAACAACGATGGGCTCTTTGTTCAACTACATCAAATCTATTCAGTATTATCGCAGAAAAACATTGCATAAAATGAGCCGGATTGTACCGTGAAATGTAAACCAGAGATTTGCCTATATATATTTTCACGAAACACCAAATCAGATCGGACACAAACTCTTCTGAAATTCGCGGTGTGCACTAAAATGTCACTAACTCCTTGTTATTGATACATTAATTAGAAAATAGCGATACACATCGTTTTTATCAACATAACCTGCTTTTCATTTCTCGTCAACGAATACTGATCGGTATATTGAGGAATCCATCATAAAATTTTGCCCGTATAGGTTTACTTCACATGTTCTTTTTCAGATCCGCGTGGGCTGCATGCATAAATAACATAAAATGAAAATTGGGCAGACGGATCTTTCAAGACTTAATTAAATTTTCGTCGTTGCGTACATTGTTTTTCAATATTTGGATCATGGGCCATAACGTACCCACATGGCGAGACGCCATCAATATTTGATTGCTATTAATCCTTGGTCAGATCAACATGGACGGAGTGAACGGTCAAGCGATCCAGAAGCCACACGACGTACAACGTCGTGTTTAAGATTTGATTGCTATTAATCCTTGGTCAGATCAACATGGACGGCGTGAACGGTCAAGTGATCCAGAAGCCCAAGATGTTCACGTACAACGTCGTGTTTGAGATGGAGGCCGTGCAAGCCGACATTCTGGAGCACTCGGGCATCACGCGCGTCTTGGACATGGCGCTAGACGGCTTCTCATGCACGGTCTTCTGCTACGGACAGACGGGCTCTGGCAAAACACACACTCTCACTGGACCTCCGCATCTGGTGAGACAATGTCATTAGGATAGTACGTTTAATTCAAGACCTCTACAACAATAATCGTGATATTAATGTCGGTTATTGGTGGTCATTTAACACAGCGGCTTAAAAGTGTTAGAATTTAACACAACTGCTTAGAAGTGATAATTGGACAGTTTCAGGAAATTTACCTCCACCTTTTATTACATTGGCAAAATGTTTAGGTAGATCATCCACTCGTGCAAGTTAATGATAAACCTATATCAAAATCATAGGCAATAGACGGCGGTTCGCTGCAAAGTTTCTCGCATTGGGAGGGAATACAAGCTTAAAGAAATCGATAAGTGCTTGCTATGGTCAACGGCAGGCAGTGAGAGGTTTCATCTTCTAAAAAAGTTGACGTCAATGCAAGATTTCACTTCCCTCCAACAATCCGTTAACCATTCCGTGCATCTGAACTCAAATTGGCCTGTTATGTGAGAATTGGCATTTAGGACAAGTTTTACTTCATGCATGCCTTTTTTTATTTGTTTAATTTAATACATAGCACAAACTATGTATTAAATCAAACAAATAAAAAAAGGCATGAAGTAAAACATAAGTATAAAAGAATGAAGTAATTATATGAATGCGCATAAAATAATTAATATTAGTCAGTGTAACATTTTATATTATGTAGTAACAGTATATGTTAACGTTCATGTAATATTAGAAAATTAGCAGGGAATGTCAAAGTATTGAAGAGAATGTACCTACATTTAACCGTACTTAATAATGCAGATCATGTTCAGAATTAAATAATTCATAGTTACGCCTATCTTGACTACGTGTAACAGCGTGGATGCATGACACATATTATATAGTGTCATGGTCACTGACGTGCTCTCGTCTTCCGTATTCTATAAAGCCTCATCCTACGTCCCTTTTTTAGGACTCAAGGACTACTTAGAGCCTCCCTACTCTGAAATTACCAATTGGTTTTAGTTTTAATAATTAATTAAATTGATAACTACTGAAGTTTAATGCGAGATCTTACGAAAAAACCTGTTTTTCGTGAGCAGTTCGACAAAGAGCCTGACTTGCTGTCGGAAGACCATGGTCTCATATTTCGCTCCTTCGTGTATCTCTTCAATCAACTCGAAGCACGGCCGGAGCAAGAGTTCACCATACAGGCATCATACCTCGAAATTTACAACGAAAAGGTAACATAAGGAGCATGAAAATATTTGAATTCGAGTTGACTAGCGTTTTCTCCTATTCTTAGAGATATTATACAAAAATAAGTAGGTATGAAATAGTATTCAGAATAGTATTAACATTCTAAATAGGTTAAATTCATTATTACTCTATTTTCAAAAGAAGATAAACGCCTTCCGTTGCATGTAAAGTACTAATGGAGTATAGTCAGTATCATCTAATCACGAAGGAGTATGCTGAGTAACATGCTCCAACAGCGCAATTTTTTTTATCGATTGTCGATTTTTGGATTTCGAGTTCTTCCATCATTAAAGTTAATTACACGTAACATGTCCGGCCTCCAGGTGATAGACCTGCTCAACATCGGGACGAACAACAAGCCACTGCAGGTCCGCTGGTCCAAGAAGCGTCGCGGTTTCTTCGTCGAGAATCTCTTCAGCATCGAGTGCTCCGAACTGGACGATCTGCTCGCTGTGCTGGAAGAAGGTACGCTTACGTCGACACTTGAAGACGATGTTTGCTTGTTAGTTGGTAATTGTTTTGATATTATAATTATTTTAAATAGGAAACGCAACTAAGCGAAATGATTGATTTCAGGTTTGTTAACTTTATCCACGAATCGTCATTTTTACAAAGTCATTTTCAGTCGTTGTCCTGCATTCATCATCGCTGATCATCATAGAGAACTAACTAATGTTTTCAAATCGCTTTTATAAAGAATATGGCTCTGTTCAGGGGATCGTTCAGAATGAAAACTCAGTTGTGGATTGTAACGGTTTATGAAAACAAAGAATGAACAATTTGAAAACATATTGAGGTTATTCGAGATTATAAACAATATAGAGAAAATAGCCAAGGTTAACAAGCAAGAAAAGGATCATAACATAAGTAAATGATAACATACCAAATTGCTGAACAACCTCGGTCAAGTTTGGTCCAAAATGAATTTTGTCCGAGCTCATTAACTCTGGTCCTACCTAAAAGGTCCCAACCTTATGCATACGGGAGAAGTATGTTCAGTAAAATTCTTTACAGCTTTGTTTATCTGCTATAATTATTACTTAGACAGCTCCATCTTTATCATGTATGCATCATTTGCGGAAACCTCATCATAATATAATTAATTTATAAGCGTCTTTATTATGAACTCAGGTTTACGGAATCGTGCTGTAGCCTCCCACAACATGAACGAGTACAGCTCCCGTAGCCACACCATCCTCACCGTCACCATCAACTCCGAACAAAAGGTACGGACCCGTATAAAATTCTGTCAATTCTGACTGAATTATAGGGGTAAAAATCATACGGTTGATTCTTAATATTACTTTCGTCGCACTACGACGCACTTTGTTAGGTCAAAAAACCGAACAAAAGGTGCGGACCCGTATAAAACTCTGTTAGTTATGAGTGAATCCTACGGGAAAAAATCATGCTGATGATTCTTAATATTACTTTGTTGTTAATACGGTCAAAAAATTTTTTGGAATATTGTTCTAACAACGTAATCGGATATAAAAATTCATATATTCGAGATAAATTCTTACGTGAATATAGATTTTTCAGCGGGAAATTTTTGACCACTATTACTTTGTTGTTAATACGGTCAAAAAAATTGTTTGGAATATTGTTGTAACAACGTAATCGGATATAAAAATTCATATATTCGAGATAAATTCTTACAAGAATATCGATTTTTCTTCGAGAAATTCTTGACCAAAACCATTTTTTGAACTTAAGTAATGAATGAAAAAAAACATCTATTACTACTGGAGCGCACTAAAAAAATTTTCAGTGATCGTAAAGCGGGGAAAAATTCCTAGCAATATCTAATTATCAACATTATACCATATATGGATTTTTCGAACAGAGATATTGTTCCATTCAGATTTAAAATTTAATCTCCAGGCTGACGACGGCGTCTTCATAACAAAGTCGGGCAAGGTGAACTTCGTCGACTTGGCGGGCTCTGAGATGACAAAGAAGACGCTTTCTGAGGGCAAGACTCTCGAGGAGGCGAATAACATTAATAAAAGCTTAATGGTTCTTGGTGAGTTTTGAGCGGAAAATATGTTTAAATTTCACAAAGGTTGTCGCATTATCATTTAGTTTAGTTTATTTGCAGTCAATAAAATGCGACTGCAAGTCTTCTTTGCACCTCTTTTGGCATTATCGACCACAGGGCCTGTCTCTGTTTACTGCGCTAGACTCGATCTTTCTTCGTTCCGTTGGAGGATTATACGTACGAATAGCATTGGCAGATACAAATAACTTGTCCGTCTCAGGCGCGGAAGACTGGCAATGTTTTCATCGTGGATTGATGTCTTGTTAGCAGATGAAGTGCCAATTGAAGTTAGCTATAATTTGTCATGTCACAGTTTATAACTCGTTATCAATGACAAAACCGTTACTGTTTCGCTCTCCCTCACGAGGTGAAACACTGTGGCTCAAAATGTAAAGAAAATACTTAATGTAAGTCTTTGTATTTAACATAATTTTATTAGTTAAGCGTAATCGCAATAAGTTTTCGTACTTTGCATCTGTAGATTTGTCGTATGACTTTTTTTAGGTGTCGAGTGATCAAAACTTGCATTGGTATTTTCGTGCTGGACAGTTACTAATTTACTGTACTAATGTACAGAACTCATTTCATCAAATTTTTTTTTCCTTTACTCTAATTTCTTTTATTTGTGTTTTTCTCATGCAGAACATTGCAGTCAGCGATTCCTATGCACTTATGCTCAATGTTCTTTTAAGGTTTAGAGTTATTCATGAGTTAGCTAACACTCATTCGATGGCCGTCGTTTTGGTAATTGTTTTCAGCTTCCATTCTGGCCAAGAAGTAAACACAGCGTGAAGTTCCTGACTGTGCTTTTAATATGACCAAATATTTGGGAGTTTCTTTATCTCGTATTCATGCAGGATCGAACACAGTAAATTTACATTGAACAGGAAATTTTAAATTTTCTTGCTCCGTTCGGTGGTTCTGAAAAATATTTTCAAACTTTCCTGAATATTTTCTATTCTTTATTGATTATAATGGAGCTTTTGATCAAATCAACAAACATATATGAACATTAATTATATCACATTTTTTTGCTTGGAATTTGCATCAAAGTAATTGAATTTTAGTTTTATTATCCGTGGATTTTGTTGATGACATGCAATCCTTATGCTGTTTTTGAAAGCGCGGAATAGGCTTTCTTTTTTTTCTTCATGAGTTTACTGATGAAATTTCATCTATCAAGTCGTACATTCTGATTATGTTTGCTTTTTCAAAGCGTATCTAACAGTTACATAGCCTTAAACTCAGCCAAATGAATTTCTCTTACACTTTGCTCGATTTTTACGTTAGTTGAATTTCTTTTTTATCGTTTCTTAATGTATTTACTGAAGGCAACAGCTCTTCATAAGTCGTGTCAGCTAAAAGTATATTGGCTTGCCAGGGACATGCATCTCTGCGCTGTCTGACCCACGTAAGCGCGACGGTCACATCCCATACNCTAAATGTCTTTGTTACGTCATCTGTGCAATCAAATTTTGCAGGGATAGAATAAACTGTTATTTTTATACTAAATGTCTTTGTTACGTCATCTGTGCAATCAAATTTTGCGGGGATAGAATAAACTGTTATTTTCATACCAAAGCCTTGATTATTTCAGCTGAAAATTTAAAAATTATTCACTTTATTTACATGGTATAAATCAGTTATTCAGATTCGTTTCATGCAAATTAAGCTTGCGTCAGTTTAAAATAAAAATAGATCTGTTCTTTTCAATCAAGTCATTAAACAACGCCTCTAAAATTTGTGTAGACTTTACCTTGATATTCCAGCTTCAGCTGCATATTACTAACAAAAAAATAATAAATAAATTAGACACATTCCTCGTGCATTTAAACATTACTCATGCATTTACCTCTGACATTCAAAATAATCTTTGGTGGGCAGATAGCGTGCGTGTCGCCGGCGCGATCGAACATCAGCGAGACAATCAACACATTGCGCTATGCGGCGCGCGCCAAGCGAATACGTACGAAGCCCATCATCATAATGGTGAGAATCATCATAACATTACGACTTTTGTAACACACATGAAGCTCTTCATCATAATGGTGAGAATCATCATGACATTACGACTTTTGTAACACGCATGAAGCTCTTCATCATAATGGTGAGAATCATCATGACATTACGACTTTTTTAACACGCATGAAGCTCTTCATTGTAATGGTGAGTGGAGATCTCCATCAGTAAATGAATAATGCCCTTGAAGCCCACCATCATCTGCAAAACATAGGAGCACATAACAGTTCATGTGCGCTGGTATTCATCACTATTCCTCATTGTAATCACACGGGTATCATTATGTCAAATCGATATCAGTCACTGATTGTTCTGATTTAAATTTACCATTATAAATCCAAGTGTAAATTTTATTATTTAATTACCCTCATGAATCTTTTTCAACAAATCTTTCTGAACCTATTCGACCGATTTCAACTCAGTTTGGTTACTGCTCAACACAATCAAAGGAATTACGTAAATGCAGCACATTACTTGACATTATTATTTTATTTTTAGTTGTACCAACATGATTGTATAACGGTTAAGGAGACTCGACAATTTTTGTTATACTTTCAGGGCATCGCATTAATTTATTACAATGAGCAAATTTGCTGGATCTTTGCACGTCGTGAGAGAGAGCGCTAAATGGGAATCCCAATACTTTCATACGAATTCAATGCACGACCGAACTTATACTTATGCTGTTCATAAGTTATTCTAAATGCATTTGATGAATTAAAAAAAATTCGTTAAAAGAATATTCAACTAGTTCAAAATTTTTTATAATGTAAACATTTCGATGTTTCTTACACTAATTTTGGAATTTATTAATGTAATATATAACATATTTAGTTATGAAGGAGTTTTATACTCTAGCTATTCCTACGGCGCTGCCACAATAACTGTAAATTCACTGCGTCGACTACGTATGACATAATAAGCACAAAAATATTATCATACAAATTTCACAAACTTTTGATTTCTTGTCACTTTTCACAATTAAGATCGCTTAAATAAAGTTCGAATGCATCTTTATTTTTGTTCATAACATCAATGGCTAAAAGAAATTTACGTTGTATTCGTTCACGCATGTCTTCAATATTTACTGTTAATATACTAAGAACTCTGAAAATTTATTTGCTTCTAAAGTATACAAAAATATTAGAATTATTTATTTATTCTCAGGAGCCAAAAGAGAAGCTAATCATGAACCTGAGGAAGGACGTGCAGCTGCTGCAGGAGGAGAACCAACACCTGCGGCTGCTGCTCGACCTCGCCGCTAAAAATGGTTCGTCAATATTGATCAACGTTCTGTGATATTTTAAAATCCTTTTATTGCTGATCAAATGAACATCATTATAACTAAAATGTTATTGAATCAATAATATTTTTGGAAGGGTAATATTAAATTATAATCATTGTATTTCATAGAATGAAATTTGTTTCGAAATTCAACAATAAAATTTTATGAGCAAACTATTGGGCTTAACTTTCTTGCTTACATAACCAATGATAAACTCTCATTGGGCTTAACTTTCTTACTCCCATAACCAATGATAAACTCTTGAATTAATTTGTTCGATGATATTAAGCTTCATGTGAAGGTGAGATGCCGCTCGGTGTAGATGGAGTCCCCGTGGTGTACCCCAGCTCTGCCACCGCGGGGGGCGGCGCCCCGGGGCTTGAACCTGCCAGCGGGACCAAAGGTCAGTGCTTCACAGTCACAGCTTCTTGTCTCCATGAGAGTTCTGACGCAAAATACTTATTTGAGTTTAACTTTAGGTTAAAGATTCAGTTTAGTCGTACTTTAATAACGAAATTATGGCTTGGTTGTGACAAGATTTATTAATGTCAAAGGCTCTGCCGAGTTTACAGGGCTGCACAATGTACGAGTCTGCACCGTTTGAATTCCAAAAACAATCAATATTCATCCTAATTCCTAATTTTTCCTAAAAATTTTAATTTTATTATGTATTACGGTATTTCGCCCAAGTCTTAAGCGAAATTTCCAAAACCTAGTTTACTATTGTTTCACAGAAAGACTTCTGACAACGTAATTTTTCTTTGTGTAAATCACGAATATTAAGCACTGAAACATATAATTTAAAGCAAGCATTTTGAGTCAAGATAATACCAATAATAATTCAGATTGCATTACTGATGGTTGGAACATGAAACTAACTTACTGAAATATTTCGCTCCAAAAGCACATCAGAACTATCGCTAAGGAGTGAAATGACGCATAAACTTCGGTTGTAAGAAAATGGACAAATAATTAAAGGTCTGAACCAAAATGTTACGCTGAGGGTCTCAAAACTCTGAGTATTTGAAAAATATATATAAAATTAGGAATGTAGTTTCTGATTCTCAAGGTTACAACTATTGTTGTTTTATTCTATCAAATTCTCTGAGATTTTACTCGAAACTCAATCTATTTTTATACGTTCTTCATCAGAAAATTTTCATCGCTTCAGTAGGTTGTCATCTTCAAAAATTAATCAACTGTCTTCCTTTGGTTTATCGCACACACATATCGTGGGGCAGCTCCTTAGTTAGGCTGAGACTTCCTAACTTCCTAACGTACGTTGCAGGCGACTGTCTTACTTTGGTTCATATCGTGGGGCAGCTCCTTAGTAGGCTGAGACTTCCTAACGTACGTTGCAGGCGACTGTCTTACTTTGGTTCATATCGTGGGGCAGCTCCTTATTTAGGCTGAGACTTCCTAACGTACGTTGCAGGCTCGCAATCCCAGGCGCTGTCACGACGCGCCTCCTTCAAGCTGGATAAGGAGAAACTGGAGCAGCTGGAGCCTGGCGAGCTGGTGGGGCTCGTGCAGCACTACATGGAGGCTCACGATGAGGCCAGGAAAGAGATCAAAGAACTCGAGGTGAGACCAATGGGAAGCAAGAATAATTTTAAACAATATCGAAATTTTTAATAATGGTGGAACCACCTAGAAGCAGTTTAAAAGCAATAAAATGTCTGACATGTTAGGCACCTATCTCAAATTGAGAGATTGTTCAAAATTGATTGACGGGATGTAAAATCATATATGAGGATCACCATGAATATTGTAGTGAATGACCTCGAGGGTATCGGAATGACATTTAATATATAATTTATACATTTAATGTTATTTAATAGACATTTAATGCTATAGTTAACTACATTTAACTATAGCATTTGTCGTTTGCTATGTTAGGTAGGAAGCATGAATAGTTTTGGACCATTACCCACGAAAACGTCCGTTAGTCGGTCAAGTTCAAGCTGAAACTTGTCTGTAAGGGTAAAGATGATTGTATATTAGTTCTAAAATTATGTACCTCTTACGGATAAACCATTCTTCCGGTCTTCTCTAAACTGAAGGAGGCCCACAGCTATAAACAATGAGGTGAAGAATGTGTAATACTGCATAAATGTTAGGGGCCAGAATAACGGATCTCTTCGGCATCGGTTTCTTCCACAATGTAAAAAGATTTCCCTAGCAAAAGTCTTGTATAATTTTTCCGTAGTAAATTTGTCCAAACTTGTTAACTCTTTGTATGTTCTCTACAAATTATTACCGTCACTATGCATTGTTCGAACGACACCACACTCGCGTTCTTGTGTACGTTTTGTTGCAGGAGCTGTCAACTCTGTTGGTCAGAGACCAGGAACTCGTCTCTAAAGAAAACGAGCGGCTGCTCAAGAAACTTGAGGACTTGTCGAGGTAATCACAATTATTCCCATATGAAAATATAAGTTTAGCTTTGATCGAAGTAGTATGTGGGCACAGGACATGATCACAATTATTCCCATATGAAAATATAAGTTTAGCGTTGATCGAAGTAATGTGTGGGCACAGGACATGAAGAATTCGATGATCTTATTGCACTGTGTGAACTTAATTAGGGATTTATAATTATGTGCTGGGTTATTTAAATATTATGGAAATGCTTGATTTATAACGAGTGCTTGAACTCGTCGGATTGTGCTGTTAATATGGCTTTAATTCAGGGCTGATCTTGTGTTAAGACCCGCAGCAGCAATAGGCAGGCTATAGAGATCAGAACCTGGAGGAAGATTGAACAACGCAACAGTGAAGTTGTGGGTGTGTTGCAGTCCAGGTCCCCTGATATGTTCTTGTGTGACTGAACTCAATTTTTACGACCGAGTGGAGCAAAATAATTTTGAGTGACAAAGTTTACTCGACTTGACTGTCGAACATAGTTTCAGTCAAACTGCGTGTATTTCATGTATTTGTTACTCACAACTTATTGTTACTCGTGTGAAACTCACGTCTGAATATTTATTTTTTGTCTCTTTGAGGCTCATCGTTGATCTCCTGGTACCATTTCGAGCATCTCTTCTGCCTTATCTTCCTACCAAACACATGAGCATAGGTCACATTATCTGTGATTCATCTTAAATCTTATTTTATAGAATTTATCTCGCACTAGGATTGTATCTCTCGCTGTATTTCTGAGACTCTCCATTTGCTAGTCGAATGACCATGACCCTCGATGCCCATTACTGGATAACATATTTGTTTCCAAAATATTTTGTTTTATGATTTCGGTTTAAAAGATGAATTCGGTTCCAGCTACCAACACGTTTTCCGTACGCTCGTGTTATAAAATTTACATGGTCCTCCTACACTTTCCTTTATTCTTTTTTTTACATTTGATCATGTATTTCTCCTAGTTTTAAGCTACTATCATTCTCTTCCCCTTCCACTGTCTTCGTAATTCTCCTCGTTACATACGACTTCATTTAACATGTTGTGGACTCCCACTCTCAGCTCCCCCAGGCGTATCGCGCGACACCCTCCCCCAGTTTCTCATCTGTTCCGAGTGTCACCAGCCATCGATAGCGCCAAGTTGCCCTATAGGTACAGAGCAGTTCTCATGACAACTTGTTTATCCTGCTTCCTACGTAACAGTAGCTTCTAAACCTTGTACAGCCACCCTAATTCTCTTCGGTTCTTTCATTAAACCCAATTTTGTCTCTATGCTTATGTATTTGCGATAAAGTATTATAGAGCTTTACCAGTTATAAAAACTAAAATCCTATGTTATACGTTATAGAAAATTAATTTTAAACCAAGCGAGTCTCAGACGTGTTACCGGTATATGATTACTGCGGTCACTCTTGTATTGTGATTATTGGGCCATTTGAGTGACATCTACAAACAGACGTTAAATGCTTAAGGTACTTGTACACGGGGATAATATTAGCGGCTAGAAGTTCCGGTTAATGTTATCCGAAAGTAATTTTGGGGCTAATTTTCTTGTGTGTAGAGATCCTAATTGCCCCCAGCCTCAGGGGCGAGTAGTGAGCGGCCGCGCACGCATGAAGTCAAAAAAGTTTAACTTATATGCGCTTGCAGGTAGCTAGCTGGGCTGAATGGGCCGTGAGTAACTGTGCACGAAACAAAATCGATGTTGCTCCTAAGTCATCTCTATATCCTTCTCGGTCTCCACCCACAGTCTATGTTGATTGACAAAGTTTTTTGCGACCTCAGCTGGAGTAAAACAACTGCATCAACTGCTTCTTCATAAGCGTCCTAAAACTCATTGTCATAGTCATGTTCCAAATTTTTTCACCAAGTGCGGACTTCACTCGACTGCTCCTAACGACGCTCTGGCGGGTACCGATGAAAAAACACTGTAAGCTAAAAGTTGCCTCGTGTATACGCCCACTGGCCGATAAAACTAGAAGCGGATACTATTAGCCACTGGAAATTTCTTCTAAAATTATTCCTGCTAAAGCGCGACCAGCCCGGCTAAACCCGGCGCCGGTCTCGGCTCAAAATTCTAACTGGGTAAGGTACTTGTACACGGGGATAATATTAGCGGCTAGAAGTTCCGGTTAATGTTATCCGAAAGTAATTTTGGGGCTAATTTTCTTGTGTGTAGAGATCCTAATTGCCCCCAGCCTCAGGGGCGAGTAGTGAGCGGCCGCGCACGCATGAAGTCAAAAAAGTTTAACTTATATGCGCTTGCAGGTAGCTAGCTGGGCTGAATGGGCCGTGAGTAACTGTGCACGAAACAAAATCGATGTTGCTCCTAAGTCATCTCTATATCCTTCTCGGTCTCCACCCACAGTCTATGTTGATTGACAAAGTTTTTTGCGACCTCAGCTGGAGTAAAACAACTGCATCAACTGCTTCTTCATAAGCGTCCTAAAACTCATTGTCATAGTCATGTTCCAAATTTTTTCACCAAGTGCGGACTTCACTCGACTGCTCCTAACGACGCTCTGGCGGGTACCGATGAAAAAACACTGTAAGCTAAAAGTTGCCTCGTGTATACGCCCACTGGCCGATAAAACTAGAAGCGGATACTATTAGCCACTGGAAATTTCTTCTAAAATTATCCCCGTGTGCAGGCATCTTAAATAAACGACGCTTTGTCTCAATGACAATCCTCCCTGTTATAGGATACTGTTGTCTTCATCATAAATGCAGCTCGGTGATCCTATAATGTCTTGAAATCATCGTATTCCTATGATGGTCTGACAACTCTAAAATATGTAACTTATTCAGTGGAATCTGAACCTTCTCCGGTCAATCAATCTCTAGACAAATTCTTTATTGAAACTCATTATTGAGTTGGACCACAGTAATATTAGTTAAAAATTTGTTAAACTTCAAAGCAATCAAACTCTGACGGGCTAAAAAAATTCTTGGTTTCTTTCGAATTCTGGTTCACTTTTAGCTCTCCCATTGAATATTTCTGTCAGCGTACCGCCGTATACGAGATTTCGATCATGCTTGATCATGAATGATCATGCTGGATCATGCTTGATCATGCTTGATCATGAATGATCATGCTGGATCATGCTTGATCATGCTTGATCATGCTTGATCATGCTTGATCATGCTTGATCATGCTTGATCATGCTTGATCATGCTTGATCATGCTTGATCATGTTTGATCATGCTTGATCATGAATGATCATGCTTGATCATGAATGATCATAATTTCTAGTTCCTCAAAGTTGTGATGTCTTGAAAAAATTTTCAGCCAGCCCGAGTAAATGAAAAATTTCCTAAATTTTTTGACGATTTGCATCTATTAAATATTTTGCGAGCTCTTTTTAAAATCCAATTTTATCTGATCCTTTCATTCTTGCATGCTGTATTATGATTTTATATTTGGACTTTTCAATTGTTGCACTTCTCTTTTTCCTAATTAAAAATAAGCTAAATTCTTCGTCCGAGTTAAATTAAAAGCTATCATATAACTTACTAGCCATCCCTCGTCTATACCTCTTTCTCACTCAAATATATTACTATGTCTTTGTTAATTTATAAATACTTTTTACCTTGATGAAACTGCATTTAGAATTATATTCTCAGATTTTTTATCACATTGGGTTTTTTATGTTCAAATCCACAATAGTAAACTTTAAGCAACATTCTGTGAGTTAATTTTCCCTTTTTGTAAACTCGTTTTGATTTGCGTTTTGTAGGACATTTTCGTACATTTTGTGGGAAACTTTAGTAAACTTTGAGGTTCGTGTGATCAGTGTCTGATGCTTATCAAATTACGAGTATGATCAAGTAACATTTTCCGTAATATTTTCATAGGATATAATTGTTCATTCACTCTCAGTTAACATATTCTGATTCCATGTGATTCATACTCTGTATTTAACCTTTGAACTACTGAGTCACAGAGGGAATGGTCCCATATCTGGTTTGAGACATTTTTAATACGTCAAGCAATAATGATCGTTGCCGCTGATCAATGACGCTCATCTGATTATTTGGATCATTCAATTGTAGATTCCTTCGCATACACATTGAACTTTATTCAACATTGCCGCTTGCTGTTGTGCGCATCCGAACTTTCTTGTGTCGCACGCTCGTTCTTCTTGTGGTGTTTAGAACGTCTGCTTGTTAATTTTTGACGCCTTTCCCCCAAGGTATTTTCTTCGTGCTTTTGGTGTAGTTGATAATTTTAGTGCATGATTTTCATTCTTTGCTACCAATTTTATTATAGATAGCAATTGATTCTTTACACTTTGATTTTAAGAGATTTTGTGTAGTTGAGTGAGTTAAAATTTTGAGCTTATGGTGTTTGAGGCTTAGCTTTTGTTTCAGGAATTATGAGCTGATATCTGTCTCGAGCAGGATTTTATTGAATTTATCGTGTGTAGTATTTGATACATACCCTTTTCACTCTTACTCAACTAATTAATAACCTATGTAACTACTTAAACTATAAGAAGCAAGACATTGCCATGTGAGCTGTTACATGTGCTACAAGTTGGAGACTTGGCTAAATCAACAATAGGTTATTATTGATAGTCTGTGTTGATAAATTTACCGACTATACTGCCAAATCTAAAATTATCAGCAGACTATATAAGAAATTGAGTGTCTAATACGTAATAAAACCAAAACACTTCTTTCTATTTAATTGTAATAAACTTTCACAATGATAAATTTTACATGAATATTTGAATACAACGAAAAAACATTGGTACACAAAGAACTCTTTCTTTCGTTCACCCATGATAAATAAATATATATACCTAATCATGACTAAATTTTTCCATACCTATAATTCCTGAGAATTGTTAGCATGCAAGGAAGGCTTCACTCAAACCTTCTCACTCTGAAGCAGAGCCCGTCTGGCGGGGGGCGGGCCTGGGGAGGGGGCGGCCCGAGGGGCCGATGTCTGGGTCAACCCGCTCACTATCAGCGACGACAATAAGGTCAGTCTGGGTCAACCCGCTCACTATCAGTGATGATAATAAGGTCAGTCTGGGTCAACCCGCTCACTATAAGTGACGATAATAAGGTCAGTCTGGGTCAACACGCTCACTATCAGCGACGATAATAAGGCCAGTCTGGGTCAACCCGCTCACTATCAGCGACGATAATAAGGCCAGTCTGGGTCAACACGCTCACTATCAGCGACGATAATAAGGCCAGTCTGGGTCAACACGCTCACTATCAGCGACGATAATAAGGCCAGTCTGGGTCAACCCGCTCACTATAAGTGACGATAATAAGGTCAGTCTGGGTCAACCCGCTCACTATAAGTGACGATAATAAGGTCAGTCTGGGTCAACCTTTTCACCATCAGCAACCACCGCAAGGTATGAGATCACGTCTTTGCGCACTGCAGAATTGGAGACTTAAGACTCAAAAAAAAATAATGACTTGCAGATCTCACTTGAGAAAATATAAATTGAGATTATAAAATTGTATCTAATAGATTTTAAACATGAATACACATTTTAAACACATCCTTTATTTTTTTGTCTCTAAATTTGTTAACTAGTCGTCTTCTACCAACAGACGCCGTCTCGTGGAGAGAGCAGCGGAGGTCGCGGGGTGCCGGACGCCGTTAACAGAGAGCTGGAGAGGCGACGCATCGGTAAGAGGTGAGAGAAACGGTGCATTTAAGTCAATCTTTATTAGTGTCATTATTAAGGCGCAACTGAATCGTTATTTTATCCTAGGCATCTGAAGTGGCGCTTAGGCATTAACTTTCGATGAAGTCCTCAGTCTTAAAATGCCTCGTATCCTACGGAACAACTGAAATCTGGAAGCGATTTTAAATCAACCGTCCGTTGAAAAGATTTGATCAAGAGGCCAGTCTAGCCAAAAAAAGTACAAGAATCGGCGACAGGCCTATCCAGGCCTATTCTTCAATGCCGAAGATACTATACTACTACTATACTAAGTGAAATTCGCAGAAACAAATTTTGATCGATTTTTGGTTGGCTACTGACTACATATTCGAACAGGAAGCGCTACTAAAATCACAATTCAAGTAGTCATGATTCTGAAAATGATGAATATTAAATCAAGCAGGGTCATCATTCCTGTGCAGTGCACTCCACACCCTAATACATAACCCTCTGTGAAGGTGATTATTGTTCTTCAGCTCGTGCTATTAGTTGACGAATCATTTAATAGTCAGAATCTTTTTAAAAATTATGCACGACCGTATGGTCAGTAACGGTAAGGAGTCCTTAACTCCCTAAGCCAATCACTGACGGCTTCAACAGTTTAGCCCACCAATCACAGACGAGAAATTGACCCTTAACTGCACTTAGGCCATTAAATATACTTAATTAAGCGTGCTTTAATATTTCGGTTCCTGGGGCCACACTTTCAAAACTCGCTAAGTGAACGTAAGTACTTACGCCCTATTTTCTTGTCTATGATTGGTGAATTTTGATTGAAAAGCTGTCAATGATTGGCTGATGAACTTACGATCTCTTAACTTTTTCAAAAGTATACGCCCTGGACATCAATTTATTCTTATAAAATGTATGGTTTGCCGCCAGCCTGAACGATCTGACGGTGAGCTCAGCTGGCAGCCGAGGCACTGGTGGTGCCGGCAGCAGCAGCGGCGGTAGCGGCGGTGGAAGCAGCCGCGGTAAAGGCGGTGGTAGTGGCGGGAGCGGCGGGAGCTTCAGGACTCGTGCCGCCAAGGAGCTCAGCCGCCGCCAGAGTGAAGACTTCGGCGCCGGCGACGAGAAGACGCCGCGCACGAAGACGCCGTCGGACGCGCGCAGGTCGGCGGCGTGAAGGCCAATGCCCTCGTTGTCCTTAATTCCCGCTGAGCTGAGAGTAGAACATGAATTAATTATAACGAATTTCCTATGTCGTTCGTTACCCTTAATTGTAGCTAAGCTGAGAGTAGAGCATGAATTAATTATAACAAACTTCCTATGTCGCTCGTTACCATTAATTGCAGCTAAGCTGAGAGTCGAACATGAATTTTAATTATAACGAACTTCCTATGTCGCTCGTTACCCTTAATTGCAGCTAAGCTGAGAGTCAGTCAAACATGAATTTGACGAATTGTGAAATTATGGCTAAAAATCTTCCTGAAACGTCACCTACAAAAATTAGTTTGTCATATAATAAGTTGGAAGGTTTTTGTATAAATTATCAAAATGGAATGTATTAGCAAATGTAATTTAAATTTCAGGCGCGCGAAGGCTCGGTCGCAGTCTGTACCCCGCACGGGCTACGCTCGGGACCACGACTCCGGGGGGCGCCGCCGCCCACCCGTCGACCGCAGCAGACCGCCAAGGACCAACCGAAAATAAGAACGCTGGTCGCTGGCTACACTCCTTCGTTTTATTTGGCTATTTCAAATGCAATTCTGTTTCTTTGTCTTTATCCATAATTTTTTCAACCATAATGAAACACCCAACTACAAACATAACTGAAACAGCAGGCAGATTGAGTGACGCTACATTTACTTGCCATACTTTGATAAAAATTTTCTTTCTTATGCTCTCACTACCTCTTCGTTTTCTCCTTTCGAACATCATATTTTTATGATTTTCTATTCTTTAGTATTTTTTCTTCGCTTTAACTTATTTTTCATTTGATTGCATTTCCTTTTTTGTAAACTACAATCCAAATTGTTATTTTATACCTTAAATCGCAACATTTTAGTGACATTTTTTCCTCCTGGATGAGTTTATAAACTGAAATTTGGTGTCCGCTGACCTTTGAATGCCCGGTTTTCCAGCGCTGAGGCGTGAATCATAACGTTCAATAAAGCATTTTAGATGTGCAATCATATGTGTTGAAAAATCGTTGTTTTGTGTTAACGTTAGGTATTGTTAGGTTAGAGNATTTGTTAACTAAAAGTAGCGCCATGAAATACTGTGCATCTTACACCTTGCAATCCGTATAATGTGCAAAACAAGCGTTTGAGTTATTGTTTATTTTAATGTAACCTGCGTTTGGATCAATGAAAGTGTGCACATGGTAAAGAACACCAGAAAAAATGTACAAGCTCTATATCAACTTTGGCCACGATATTTTTGAGGGTTAGAATGTTTTTGCACTCTTGAAATGCACAATAGCGTTACCGAATGCAGCCGAATAAATTGCCATTATATTTCAGTTAGAAGCAAAACTTCCACGTTAAAGTCAATCATGCATGAAGTTATTTTGTTTGCAAACCCGTAAAGAATTTTCTCAAAAATTTCATATGAATCAATTAGAAGTTAAACATTCATTAAGGTGAGCGCATGACGCTTGCCCCATGCCTTTGGATCGAGTGGGCCTGAAGTTTCAGCACTGAGATCAATCCCAGATTTCATGCTGTGATTCATTGCTAGCGTGCATTGGAAGCAACGCACTCACCACTTGGCATTTTATGGCCATTTGCCTGTTAAAGCGAATTTATGCTGAATCGAAACATTCCGTTACCAAATATCCAGAGTTTTCTGTACTTTCGTCCCTAATGTACGAATAGCTTAAATCATTTACAATCTCTGATGAAGAATTTTTGGCTGAATATTTCAAAATCATGACGGGAGGAAATTTTTAATTACATTGTGACTCATTCACTTGAACAGTGAAGGGTTTGTATTTAGTACGATATTTACGAAATTTAATTTATGTTACTTATTTATGTAACATTAATGGGTGAAAAAATTCGCCAGCACGGGCAGCGAGGGCAAATTTCTCCTTGTGAACTCTGCAGGGAAGAGCGTGCATATTACGCACATGTATTTATCAGCCCTCAGTTAAAATACCTACATAATATTTTTACAGGGCCTTATGCACTATTCACTGAACTTAATAAATATAATTATCAAGTTCTTAGTTGGTTAGTTCTAAAGTTTGTTAATCAATGTCTGTAATCCAACATGTGTCAGAGCATATGATCTATTTTGCAAGTTTTGTTTTAGCCGTGAACATATATGTACATATCATCGTTGCATTACGCTATAAGTATAATCGTACGGCACATATAGCAGTGATAAAACACGTATTCCGTCCGAACACGTAACCTTCCGTCCGTTTCCGTGTCTGCCCATCTTCCCACTTTGTTGAAGGTTCATAATGACTTTTTTCATTATACTGTAAGTGGATTTTCTCACTTACCAATCTCGAAGTTTTTTCGTCTTTCCTCCAGCCGATCGTCAGACATGTCGTTCCACTCATCATCGGTTCTAACTATTTACTGTCATGACCGGTCGTATATTTTTTGTGTAAACTATTTATAAATTGGCTGTCTTCAGAGAAAATTTCTTTGTATTTATTTGCAAAATTTATTTGATAATCTTCTACAATCAAAGATTTACTAAGTAAGACAGTAAAAATCATGGTTAACTCGGGTGTTTCTTTGTATTTTTTTGAGAATCTTCTACAATCAAAGATTTACTAAGTATAAGACAGTAAAAATCATGGTTAACTCGGGTTGAAAAGATTTCTGTTTAATGGAATATTTATATGGAGCCGAATTGAACCGCAAGGAGAGTTCAAGGATTAATCTAAATACATTAGAGTTTAAGAGTTCGTTTATTGAACGCAATTTGTCGAACAAATTGCGCATAAGTCGACAATGAGTGACCGTCGGAAATTCGTCAAAAATCGACGATTAAACGTAGACAAAGTCGCTGTAGGGTTCAAATCCTCCGATAAATATCAGCAGGTCTTCAAAATCCCGTATTAGAGCTTCACGGGATGCAAAATTCAGTTCAGTTTGTCGAAGAAAAAATTGAATATTATTAATGCAAGCGCGTTATTAATGCAAACTACGATTAAAATGTTTATTCCCCTAACATTTGTTTTGAAACATTGGCTATTGGCTTCATAAGTGATTAATAGATCGAGCATCAAAAATGTTGTGGAATAAAGAAAATTTCTGCAGAAGTGCAATCCTTTATTTTGTTGCAATTTAGTCTGTATTTACGGTCCATGATTGCGGCTATTAATTTTACGTTATTTATGAATTGCTAGATATTTCTGTGATATTTACTATGTACTTCAGTAAAACCTAAAGTATTTTCTTAGTTATTCTCCAGTTTTTATTCTCAGTTTTAGAACTTCAATGCAATCTCGAAGAAGATTCCTTGTAGAAGCAATGCAGAAACGTGCAAAAGAGATTCAAGTGCATTTGTATACTACAAATGTTATAAATATTTTGATTTGTGTAGTTACTTGGCAAATAAATTTTAATTTAGATCTAATGTAAGAGACAGTGGACCGCTTCGCTAGAGTGCATTTGTGTACTACAAATGCTATAAATATTTTAATTGATGTAGGTACTTGGCAAACAAATTTTAATTTAGATCTAATGGAAGAGACTGCTTACTGCTTCGCTAGAAACTAGATGGATTGCAACAGTAACATGTAAGATGCTTGCCGCGCTCATGTCTCTACCTGTCCAGACTCCAGGGGCCATACTTTCAAAACTCGCTAAGTGAACGTAAGTACTTACGCTCTATTTTCTTGTCTATGATTGGTGGATTTTGCTTGAAAGGCCGTCAATGATTGGCTGATGAACTTACGATCTCTTAACTTTTTTCGAAAGTAAAGTCCCAGCGCAACAAGTGTCCCAGTCGCACATCTGCTGCCGGAAGAGTCGGTCGTAACCAAACAGTGGTGCTGGCTTACAGCGTTGTGTTGAATACGTATCCGAGCTACCAATATAGCAAGTTGCTTCGTATGTATAAATAACTGATATATAGAGCATTTTTGAAAGTTATTGCAACTTTAGAGTCAGCTGAACATGAACGAAAACTTTTGTTGCATAAATAGCCATAGAAAATGCTCAACTTTGAACACTGATGATTCATGCAAGGCTTTTATAACCCGGTATGGCTGTGTGCTCTACTTTCAAATTCAGGAAAACACTAGGAAGATAAAATGTATTAAATTTTGGGGGAGTGCCTCAAGCATTCACCAGTAGATTAATTTCGAAACTGGTCATAGTTGGTCAGTTTCGTTTATTATTTATTCGCTCCTAGCCAAGACTCATTCGTACGACCACATGTCATTCGCAGAAGTTGGCCATTTTATTAAAACTCATTAAAACCTTCTTTTTACATCAGTATTATTTTATTTATCAGCTTGGGCAGACGGAATTAATGCCTACAGCTCCTTTGCATTTCGAGAGGCGGTAGGAGCTACATCGAGGTTAACTGACTCATTATTGGACAATTATTGGTATCGGTGGGATGGCCGAGTGATTGACATCACCTGCTGAGGTCCAAGCCTTTGCCAAGCTTTGACAGTTCGAGCCTACGCAGATTCAAGCCTATGCCAAACTTTGACAGTTGAGTCAGCTGAACATGAACGAAAACTTTTGTTGCATAAATAGCCATAGAAAATGCTCAACTTTGAACACTAATGATACAAAAAAGGTTTTTATAACGTGCGATAGCTGGGTGCTCTGCTTTCAAATTTAGGAAAGCACTAAGAAGATCAAATGTATTAAATTTTTGGGGGAGTGCCTCAAGCATTCGCCAGTAGATCAATTTCGAAACTGGTCAAAGTTGGTCAGTTTCGTTTATTGTTTATTCGCTCCTAGCCAAGACTCATTCGTACGACCACATGTTATTTGCAGAAGTTGGCCATTTTATCAAAGCTCATCCATAACCTTCTTTTTACATCAGTATTATTTTTTTATCAGCTTGGGCAGAAAGAATTATGCCCACAGCTCGTTTGCATTTCGAGAGGCGGCAGGAGCTACATCGAGGTTAACTGACTCATTATTGTACAATTATTGGTATCGGTGGGATGGCCGAGTGATTGACATCACCTGCTGAGGTTCAAGCCTATGCCAAGCTTTGACAATTCGAGTCGAAATCAGTGACGTCGTTTGGTGGTTATGAACAACAAGATTGGAGCAGTGAGTTTCGGGTTCGAAAGAGCTATAATTAGATCTAAAAATTTTGCGGACCTTTGTATTAGTACTGAGCTAACTGGTATTATTGTCACAATATCACTATTTTACCTAAACTGCTAGTTTATGGAGACAGATGATGGAGCAGTTCCCGCAACATTTTCGACGAAGACTTGACGAAGAATTTACGTGACGTTTTCTTTGACTTAAATAGTTGCCCTATTCATAAAACAATAATCGCCGATTAATAATTTAGCTTAGCGATAAAACTTTTTTTCATACAAATTTCGTAGCGCTCTAGCTGTTTGTGTTGTCTCAATTTCCCGAGGTGACTCTGCCATTATTTTTAATAACGGGTTAGTTAATAAACGGAAACTAATTTAATTCTCGAGTTCGTTATAGTGACAGAAAACCGTGCTCAGTAATTTTCTGAAGTAATTTTGATATCACTGAAATGTACTTTCAAGGATGAATTTAGTGCTAAATCTACAAATCTATGGTTGAATAGAATTGGCAAATATTTTCAAAAGTAAACAAAGTAGAGGAGCAGCATACACTTTTCGTTGAAAATGCTTCGAATTTTTAGCTGCCGTTATGGAATATCAACTCATCCTCAAATAAATTCAGGATTTCACTCAAAATTTACGAGGAATCTTTGGCGAAGCTTCAAAAATTTCAAAACATTAAATGCGCAATTATCGACTTGCCTCACGCTGCCAAAGTCTTTAAGAAGCAAATCCAAATATGCAAAAAAAAGATCAAACTCAGTTGCTGCTTCGAATGCACAGTATAATGCAGTAATCGTATTGATATCAGAATGCCTCTCCAATGTTATAAGGAAATGAAACAGCCTTTTGGATAACAAACTCTTGAAAAATCTAATTTAAACCATAACTCAAAAATCTGCATGACAAAGACAATGTTCCGGCAAGAGGTGCAATCGTTCAATTATCGTAGGCAACGCTATGATGACTACATTAATTGCTGAGATTGCACCCCCAATCCGATACCGCACGAAAGATTACCGCAATCCGATACCGCACAAAAAATTACCGCAATCAGATACCGCGCGAAAGATTACCGCAATCAGATACCGCGCGAAAGATTACCGCAATCAGATACCGCACGAAAGATTACCGCAATCCGATACCGCACAAAAATTACCGCAATCCGATACCGCACGAAAGATTACCGCAATCCGATACCGCACGAAAAATTACCGCAATCAGATACCGCGCGGAAGATTACCGCAATCAGATACCGCACAAAGATTACCGCAATCCGATACCGCACGAAAGATTGACGTCGCGAGTTCTCACTTGCCGGTGTATTGATCCTCGTACATCTCTTCAGTTATTACTGGGAGTCATACCTCGTCCGGTCCCTTCGATCGCAAAAACACGCAAATAAATTTGTCGTGAAGCCATTGTAACTTGACGTGTTTTCAGTCTTTGCATGCAATTTTTTGCCATACACTTCCATAAATATAGAATAAAATTTTGCATTGGTTGTGGTATAATTGTACGAGTAAGGCGAGAATGCAAAGATAATCGAATGACTCGCTTGTATAAAATTCAGCAGCCGAAAAATTTTTCATGAGGCTTCCAAAAAAGGAACTTCAGAAAAAATACTTGCTTCCTAAACCCAATCAAATGAAAATAAAACTTCTGACGCACTTATTTCTGCCTCACCCACCTTCTCATGGCGGCCTCTGTCATTACTCCTGTACGAAAATAAGCGAATTGTCAATAAAATTAAAATGCAAATTTATGTTCTAATAAGCCACAATAAATTATCATCCCTTTAGAAATATGTTGCAGAGTCCAGCTTCATCGTTACTTTAAAATTTTTAGAATACAAAACGATCAGATAGTTGCTAAAATTATTGAACTGTTATTCTGGAGCCTTTTCAGTCTATACTACGCGCCGTCATGCTTAACAGTGCGACGTGGCTGTGGCTGAGAATGATTTCAAGAAACTAGGTTCCACTGAAAGTTCGGATTTAAGAATTTAAAAATCGTTGTTTATTTTAAAGCTGAACTTTGGCTTAAATGCGCGTACAGTTTTTATCCTCTTGTTATTGTGAGTCAATAGGTTTTTATGTCCCGTTGTCATTTTCTTGTTAGCTTGGCTTTGTAGTTTCGTGTTTATTTATTTTTTTCTCTTCTGATCATACATACATTGTAAAATTTGTCTCGCTAATTGATGACGTAGCTGGTCTCTTAAATGTTTTCAATGACGATTTGCTGAATTAGCATCGATTTTTTTCTTATAAATGCATGATTAAATTTTTATTTAAGTAGACTTATGATATAAGTATTAAGAAATTCATACAATTTGAACTACACTAGCTATTCATTTCAGTGGTGATAATATAATAGCAATATCTGTGGTTGCGAATAATTACTCATATCCATGGTTGTTGGGTAATGAACACGAGGCGCGCGAGGTCCATTCCTGTTGCGTTTAAAGTGACGCTCACCTCTGGACATAAATTTAATTTGCTATTACTTTCCAATCCAAAAAATTTCAATGTTGTCAATAATAATAATAGATCTAGATGCTATTTTTATAGCCAGTGTTATTGCTGCCAATCACACATTAATTTACTCGATATTGGTTTCCACGTACATCGACCATTGAAATAAATCTAGCTTTCTAACAAATGAAGATAGCACAGTGAATAAATAAACAATAAATGATAAACATGATAAATCCGACTAAGTAAAGGATACAAACACTCAAGAGACATTCGAAACTTTTATTTTTTTGCACGAATTTAGGTCTCAAGGGGTTATTCAACTTAAAATTAATGCACTCACACGGTTCTCCTCATAGCCCCACTTATTAAAATTTAGGCAATTTAGTAAGTCAAAATATCACTCCACTACAAGACAAGTAACAAACATTGACAAGGAACGATCACAATTATTGTTTCAGGTTTCCAATTCTTCCGTTAAAAACCGTTTTCACATATCATCACTCGAAATTTTTCCGCCTTCTTTTTTGAATTTATAGAAGATTTTTCGCATCCCAGGCTCTCCCATTTGGTCTGATGACAAGACCATTTCCTGTCTCTCAATGATCTCTTCACGTTCTTCACGTCCATCATGATCATGCACGAGCTCGTGCTACACCGTCTGCTGCAGGGTGTGGCGAGCGGTGTCTTTCCTGCAGGGGCTGTCAATTGATGGTAAGGTGTCAGAACTACCGAGGCTCTCAGTAAGATGCCGGTATGAGTGAATTCCAATATGACCATCGTCTTTGTCATGGTCATTGTCTCTCATGTGACGGGGCTCAAAAATATCATCTCCTTCATCTTCAACATCACGCACTATTTCATCAGCAGCTTCCTGTAACACATGCGGAGGAACGACAGTTTCTTTCTCTAGCTGCTTCTTCCTGGGGGCTTCTTGTGGCATCACTTCTGAGCTACTGCTTTCAATGCCAGAATCATGAAGATCATTTTTTAATTTTGCTTTGTCCAGAATTGATGGCGTAACCGGTCCAGAATTGATGGCGTAATTGATGGCGTAACCGGTCTTCATAACGACTTTCTCTGGAGCAGGAGTTGCAGTTTTCTACTTTTTTGTAGTCATTGCGTTAGCGTCGTCCAAATTATTGCGTTTTTTATATTGCTCTTCCACTGGTTCCAAAATGTTTTCGTTATCACTTGAAAGATCTCGATTTTACTGCCGCCGTGACACAATTTCTTTTTTTTGTTTCTTGAGGGACACTCTGTTGGGGTCCTGGCAAATATTTCTTTACGGCACGTAATGACGTTACGAACGTTGACGGTTACGGCACGTAATTACGAAATGGACGGCAGCCACAGGTAAGCGGACAGGCAGTCCGCAAACCTGTGTCAAACAGTCTTTCCCTTCTTCGTTTACGAGACACTTTTTGTTACTTGAATTCATTTGGTAGTTTGTCCGGTTTCGTCACACCAAGATGTCCCCAGATGTCGAGCTAGTTGGCGGTCTCAAGCGAAAAGTGCACTTGGTGTGTGCAGAGGCTTCGAGTGATCATTTTCAGGACACAAGGGAAATTTAGTTTCCTGTTGGACTTTCTTAGAAGACGACTCCTTCGATCCGAGTTATATTGAACGCGCTTCATTTTTGGCCAAATGTATTCGACCGATGTACTGCTTTCACTGCTGATTTTGTTTTCTGTCGATTCGTTTCTCGATTCTAGAGTAAGATAGTATCTGAGATACCGAAAAATAATCGTCATGGACCAATTAATGTTTCTCAGTTTTAGCAGATTGCATATTTTCAAATAATTCAACATAACTTTTAACTTGTTTGTAATCATGCCTGCACCTTTCTAAACGCGAACATTCATAATTCTTTCGAGTTCATTTTTAATTAGTTTAGTCACATGGTATTTTCAAAGGTC